CTCGCGCTCGGCCCGGGCGTTTATTCTCGGGCTATCTCGCGCCGTGCGCGCGCGAGAGGTTGTTCGCTCTCGCTCGCAGATATTGCGATAGCAGTGACGCCGGCACGCAGAGAGAGAGAGAGAGAGAGAGAGAGAGAGAGAGGTGCGCCGCTCTCCTTCCGGGCTTTCCGCACCTGCCGATCGACGCCGGCGAGACGCGTCGACAATTAGTCGTGCCGTAGCTGGAAATGGGACACGGAGATCGGCAGGTCGCTTCGTGATTCGGGACATATTGAATGTCACATCGGCCGAACAATTGGACGGGGGGGGGGGGGGGCGTGTCTTGTCACGGCTTGGTGCGCTCGCGCGCACCCGCGAGAGCTTCGACGAGCTTGCACGAATTCTTATTGCACGGGGAATTCTCAAAGCGTCTCGCACGGCTAAACCGATCTCGTCTCGTCACACACGTCGGAGCACTTTTTTCCGCGCGCGCGCGCGCGCGACAAATCATCGTCGCCGCAGACAATTGCGTCATTAGAAAGATGCGTCTCTGCGACCGCGGTCGCGCCGATTGTCAGAGCGGGCTGACGTCACCCGTGTCAGCAGCGACCAAGGTCTACCGTGTACAATGGGACTGTATTTTCCTCTTCCTTTCGACCTTTTCGGAAACGGCGCATTATCCTCATCAGGACACACGGCAAGAAGGCGAAACGCGAAAACCGAGCGTCTCATCGGCGACTCGAAGGAAGAAGCGCATTTCCGATTTCCTGCAGACACACATACACCACGTCGTATCGATTCGCCTGTACAGTCGGACTCGAAACAGCGCGCGATCCAATGCAAACGCAGACAGCTCAGTGACGTTGCTGTCTTCCTCTTTTTTTCGAGATTACGACGTCAAGCGAGCGAGTCGGTTAATGCAACGCAAACATCCTCAGCGCACGATGCGCGAGCGTGATTATAGATGCGCCGGCTGCAATCGTTGTTGCGCTGACGGAACGACACACATCAAAGCACTCGACTCGCGAGCCACGCGAGTTCTCTCTCTCTCTCTCTCTCTCTCTCTCTCTCTCTCTCTCTCTCTCTCTCTCTCTCTCTCTCTCTCTCCCTCTCTGAAGTTTCAAAATTATTATTTACTCTGCACACGCATGTAGATCCCGACGATATGGATATTGTGCACACGTACGCTTTACAAACGAGCGCGCGGGCGCTTCAAAGCCGGTCCCGCGATTACCGGCGCGTTCTCCACTTGCCGGGACTCGACACTGCAGCGACTAAAGAGATCGTGTACACGCTTGTACCACGACGGCGCTCGACACACGTGCCGCACCGTAACGAGGTGGCTTATGTGCGCGTTTCCGGTGCAGAGCGGATAAATCGTATGTTCGATGAGCCGCAAGAGTTCGCCGCAGCGTAGCGGAAATGCGAAGGAGGAGCCGACGTATGAAAATTCGACGGGGAATGCAATCTCGTAATTAATTAGTACGATCGACGCGGTCGATTTTAGCGCGTAGCACGTGTCCGCTGGAATAACCGACGGAAAATGAGAGAGGTCGCGGCGACGCGATCGGCAGTAAGAGTTACGTCGCTTGACGAAATTACCCGAGGAAATCCGTCCCGAGGATGGAATCGCGCGCGCAAATGTGTGAGATTCAATTCATGGATAAGAAAAACACCGGTCGGCGCACAGTGGGGCCGGATGACATTCTTTGGTTGAAAATTCTCTAGAGACCTGAGTTTCCAACCGATCATCGACACCAATGGATGAGGTTGATCCTGAATAAATTCCGAAGAGATCCTGTCTTGCCAAAATTAAAAAAAATTTTTTTGTCGAATTACTAGCTCCGAAAAAGGAAAAAGTATCGGTAAGCGCGAGAAACTTGTGAAATACTCATTATTCGACACTTATTTCTATCTATATAGCGTATTCAGCGGATTGAAACTATGAAACTAATCAACAGACACCTCGAGATGTATCGATCTTGAAGCAGAAACTCATTAACCCAAAGCTCATATGCCCAAAATACAAAAACATCAAATATAAACCCGTTAAGCACAAAACCGAGGGATTTTGAGTCTTAAGCCCATCAACCTAGGAATCAATCCTATCAATCCGAGAACTTTTTAGCTCGTGAACGCATGAAGCCGTATATATGGATATTCTTGGATGCATCAACTCGCATTTAGTATCTATCTAGGCTCGAACCCAAGACACACTGTACTTTAAACGATGAACTTTTAAGACAAACCCTAAACCCATGAGCCCTGATCCGATAATTTTTTCAAAATTTCGCCTAGACGGATCTCTTTGGAATTTATTCAAAATCAACCTCATCCACTGGTGTCGATGATCGGCTGGAAATTCGGGTCTCTAGAGAATTTCCAACCAAAAAATGTCATCTGGCCCCACTGTGCGGCGGTTCGGGGAGTGTGCTTTTCTAAAAATTCCCTATCGAGCGGCGACAAGTCGAATATGAGGTAGTCGGTGGGAAGAAAGTGATTTACAGACCAGACATCGGCGAGCGAGTGTCAGAGTCATCGTTGAGAAGAGAGAAAAATGCGGTGAAAGGGATCGGAGTCGAAGTGAGAATGGCGTTCGCGAGAAACCAATAGCACTCATCGGGATGTCAAGCTCTCTCGCAACGCTCGAGCGGACGTGTATGTACGCGCGCAGTTTCAGATTCGCGCTCGTTAACCTGGTCATCTTTTTCATGCCTGACGGCGGGAAAAATATAGCGATAGGGCCAGATACATTTCGCGTATTCTGGTACCGTGTTTCCTGCATCCGGTGTCCCATTAACCTACATTATTGCTCCGCGCGCTTTCCCGCCTATCACGATTCTTTCGCACGCGCCAGCGAGTCCCCTCATTTAAATATCGGGATACGCCCCGTTACACCCGCAGATGACTATCGCGACCGAATAAAAAAAATTCCAAGGATTCGTTGTCGCGCGAATTTCGCTGGTCCAAGTCGCCCCGCCGCGCCGCGCCGCGTTTCTCTCCCTCTCACTCTCTCTCTCTCTCTCTCGCGCGCGCGTGCGCGCGCGTTTTCAATTATTTTGACCAAACACACGCGTTCCGTCGTGGGAGAAAAGCGACTCTGCAACTTTCCCGCCATTGTCCGCGCGCGTCAGAGTAACGTACGACGCTACTCCGATATTAAACGTCTCCGCGATTTCAAGCGCGATTTCCCGACTCACATCGTCCAGCGCACTTTGGAGAACCGGACTTTATCGTTTGTACATTGAACGCGCGCTAACTGCGACTCCTCTGAAACGCTAAAGGCACACGTATTTCTCGCCTATCCCCCCCCCCTCCCGCCACGCCGTCACTCTCGCTCGCCATCTCGACCGCTTTTTCCCCGCGAAGTAGATATTACCCTCCGGAAGATATGTTTAAGAAACGCACACCCCCTCATATTTCTCCCCTTTCCCCGGCACCCGAGGAGGCTCCCCCTTCCTTTCGGCGGCTGCGTTTCGTCGTTCGCCAATCTTTTTTCTCCCGCCGATATTTTTCCGGCCGATGTTTTCATCGCGCTGCCGCCCCGGCAAAAATTCTCTCACGCCCATAATTCATCGCGCGCGTCTACGTCGGGCAATACGCCGCCGTAACTTACGCCGGCTGGGTCGCGATCGTAAAAGTAACGAGACGAGTTCGGGGGCGAGCTCTCGGAGAGGGCGTTGTTACGCGCCGGGGCGAACAGCCCCGAAACGCGCGGCAAGGCGCGCGGTTAAGACGTCGGCGCGATGAGCGCGACTAAACGACGCTGCTCTATTTTTTTAACAAATCACACGGCGCGGATTCCTCGTCAATTTACGAGATCAGTCCGATCAGGACCTATCCGCTGAACGGTTCAGCCGGTAACTCGTTCCTCACGTCGCGCGCGCGTGCGCGCGATTTTATGTGCGGCCGCGCGAGCGTCTACCGATATTTGATCGTATCTCGCGATAACACGCCGCATATAATTCGTGCGGCTCTGTGTATTTGCCAGAAACACACGCTACGCGTGCGCGCGTATAATTATGTATTTGTGGATTTATGAATATTTGGATCCGTAGACTGCGAATCTATAAATCCACAACCGTGCTTCGCGAGCAAGCCATGCGATAGAGCGAGAGCGAGAGAGAGAGGGAGAGAGAGAAATTTATATTCCGTGTGATATTACACGGAAAGCATACACGTATACACTCGATGTTTCGCGAGAGGTTCCTGTTCTCTTTCCCTCTTATTCTCGATGCAATCCATTTCTTGGGAGGCAACGCGGAATTATTTCCGCGTCACGAGAGAACGGAAAGTGAGAGGCAATGAGAGAGCGCACAGCTATCGCGTACACTTAAACACTAATTTCTTCAGAGTAGCGTCTCAGAAGGCAAACTGTCGCTTACGGGCCAAGAGGGAGGTAGTATCGCGATCCACTTCTTAACAGTTTCGCAGTGTATCGCATCGAAATATAAAACAGCGCGTTGATGCGATTTCGAGTGGAGCACGGAGCGAAAAAAGAAGTTACGAGAGCGAGAGTGTGAGAAAGAGAGAGAGAGAGAGAGAGAGAGAGAGAGAGAGAGAGAGAGAGAGAGAAAGAGGAACAATCGCGTTTGAATTCCGACATCGCGATAACGTCGACGACGACGACGACGACGACGATGTCGATGACGAGCGCGTGTGCGCGCAAATAATAATAACAGCGCGCGATTGCGTGACGCTGCATCGTGACGCGAATTAAATTTCGCCGCCGTCGAAAATACGCGACGATCCAAATCGAATCTACAATCTACGACACTCCCTATAACTTAGAGGCACAGACAGGCGATATTTCACAGAGCTGCGAGAAACCGCAGACTGAACAGAGGCTGCCAATGAATTACGACATGGTCTGTGTAACGCGCAATCGTGCGTATGTAATTTTCGGAAGACGCACACACATCGACGAGTGGCAACCGGAGCCAGTGTCGAAGCCATATTGCGCGCGCGTATAAGCGTTTCCTATAATTTAATTAAACGCCCGTGGCTTTCAGGACTGCTCAGGCTGCAGCAGATTTATCAGGGGCTGAAGCCAGGCAACGAGTCCTTTCAAGTCGAAACCGTCAAGAGAATACAGAACATGTCAGAGGCGATCGATTTTCTGCGCAGCCTGGAGGAACTTAACCGGTGAGTCTTTCCGTCGAAACATATAACACACATAAAAGTGCGGCGCCTCTTTCGCTAAGAATATTGCGCGGCCGCGCCTGCCGCCGTTCCCAGCTACGAATACTGTTTTCTTTTTTCTGCCTCCTTCCTTCTCCTCCGCCCCCCCCCTCGCCCCGTTCTCCTTTTACGGTTATATGCAGTACGCGCGCCAAGTAGAGCACACACTTCGCTCGTAGATATTACGAGAGAAAAATAAGTTTCATCGGGCAACTTCACAAAATCCGTCATTATTTTCGTGAATTTACGAGCAACGCGTATCCGACGCATAAATACGAGAGCGTACCGAACGCGCCGGCGGCGGCGAACCGCCTCGCGGAGAGGATGTTATTCCGCGCGTATGTGCCCCGCGTAAGGATTGTGGCAGTAAGAAGAAAAAAAGAAATATGTATCGCTCGATATAGAAATTCACGTGATTAGATTACACGCGACGCGACGCTTCCCGAGTTTGCTCCGTGTGTCTCCCTGCGGTGCAATCAGAAAAGAAGAGAACGGTAACGGAGCAATCTTGTAGCTCCGCGCGCGCGGGACGACGCTATATGGCGCGACTATTATTTCCCTGCGAATACAGCGCGCCGGGCGTGTGACGGATAAGGTTGGTCGCGATACGACTGGCGAGCTCACGCTACAATTCACCGGCGACTACGCATTTGCGCGATGCAAGTAATCAACAACAGCGAGTAATCGCCATCGCGGCGGTTTGAATTGGCCGAGCGAGGGTGCTGCTGGTGGTAGGAGTAATAGTAGTAGCTGCGATGATGCCGATGCTGGTAGTTAGCGAAAACAACAGCGTTATTGCAAATTGCCATACAATATCCAATTATTACAAACGAAATGAGCATGGAAACTCCGCGGCGCATCGATCAAACGCGACAAAGCCGCGCGCTAGCCGCGGTCGTGCGCTAGCCGGACTTATGTCACTCACTCACTCACTCTCTCTCTCTCTCTCTCTCTCTCTCTCTCTCTCTCTCTCTCTCGCTCTCGCTCTCTCATCCAATGGAAAATTTCAATGACATCGCCGACGCGCTGGCGACTGATGCCGAAAATGTCGACCGATTGTTTCAGATGGAGCAACAAATACGTCGTGCTCGACTGCCCCACGGACATGGCGAAGGATATCGTCGTGAGCCACGTGAGAGACGTGGCTCTGGGAAAGAGGACGTATCATTATCTGCTGAGTGGCTTGGTAAGTAAGTCAATCGAAGCGGCAGCCTCTGTCTGTCTGCAAATCGTGCAATGAAACAGTGGAATTTCATTCCCGACCCGCCCGCGTCCTCTCCGTATTTATTCCCTTCCGCGAAGCGCGAACGACTCTCTCATCCTTATCTACCATCCTCCCGCCGCGCGCAGATCGGCGGCAGATGGAGAAATGCATATTGGATCGACGCGCATAGTTCCTCCGAGTAGTTTTCACGCCTCGCTAATTTCCTCGATCGCTCATTGTCAAATATCGCTTCTGTCCCGCTACGTTGTTAATTCTCCAAGTCGCAGCAATCGAATTTTTCCAACCGACGGCGGCTGTTCGCTCCGAGTATCTTCTTCGAGCGTCGCTTCGATACGTCTCGCGTAAGGATGTACGGGGTGTCCCATTTTAAAGGACCCACTCAAATATCTCAGAAACACTGCGTTAAATCGAAAAATGCTTAGGACAAAGGGGGATGTAAGACAGCGATAGCATTTTGTTTATAAATGGCTCCACTTTCGAGATATTCACTGATCATCAATTTTCTTAAACGGAAATCCCAATTTTTTATTATATCATCTTTGTCTATCAATTAATTTGAACAACTTTTGTTTGAAACATTTTTTTATTTGCTTAATATATTTTGAGATATTTAAGGAAAACTTGGTAACTTTTCCAACATTTACCTTACGATATCTCGCTAACTATTCGTCGAAAGAAAAAATAGTATTGGACATTTTTACTTTATTTACCATCAAGAATATACTACTATAAATGTGCCCTAACTTTTATTAATTTAATAATTTTGAAATTTCCAAAGGTCGATAAGTTAACAAAAGTTAGGGCACTATTATAGAATTATATTCTTGATAGTAAATAAAGTAAAAAGGTTTAATATTATTATTTTTTCTTTCGGCGAATAGTTAGTGAGATATCGTAAATGTTGGAGAAGTTGCCAAGTTTTCCTTAAATATCTCAAAATATATTAAGCAAATAAGAAAATTCTTTCAGACAAAAGTTGTTCAAATTAATTAGTGATAGAAAATTAATTGGTAGAAAAAGGTGATATAATAAAAAATTGGGATTTCCATTTAAGAAATGGAAATTGGTGATCAGTGAATATCTCGAAAGTGGAGCCGTCTATAATCAAAATGCCATCGCTGTCTTACGTCTCCCTTCAAGCCAAACAACTTTTGTCTTGAGCATTTTTCGATTTAACGCATTGTTTCTGAGATACTTGAGTGGGTGCTTTAAAATGGGACACCCTGTATAACACGTAGCACGCGTAACATTACAACGCTAATTACTCTCGCCGAGTCGTGTGAAACTTCCGCGATTCAATCGCACCGCTCGCTTCAAATCGCGAAACGAAATATTATAGTTGCACCGTGCAACGTTAAAATTATCGTCTTCGATTCAAAGATGGCGGCGAATTCTTGCAAAAGGAAAAAAGGAAAAAATGCAACAAGGACAGCGGACAGTTTATAAAGCAAAAGTTTCGTGTCGATGTAAAGCGGAACGAGCTACCATCGCGCGAAAAATCCAATTTCCTACGCTTTAATCGAAACTCGATGACCTCCAGCGGCGCGGAGTCTCTTCAGCCGTAAAGATTCGACATGCAAAACAACCGCGCGGCTTCTCGCTTTACTCGCCGTTTTAGCGGGATGACGGATTAATTTGCGGCATGGCGATGAAATTTTCGAAACAACCGAGTACCTCGGCTCGAGCTGACACAGACGCTCAACAGGGGCCACGAACGGGGCAAGGAGGGGCGAGATCCTCGCCGGTGATGTCTCCGGCGGTACTTTAGAATTTAGAGGACGGTTTGCTTGTGTTTGGCGGCTTCCAAGGAGTCGCAAGGAGAGCAGGCGACATTACACCCCGAGCAGCGAGCGGCGAAGATAGTTTTGTACATACCTGCATGTACATCTACCTCCGTCTCTACGAGGCACGCCATTGTCATTTATCGCGTCGTTCTCGAAACGGTTGCTTACCGCGCGCCGCGCGCCGAGGCGTAGACGTGTCGATTCGCACATTTCCCCCGCTTTCCTCGCCATTCTCATCTCGTCGTGTTCCACTCGCCTCACCCTTCGTGTCTCCCCCGTCCCCTCCCCTGTCCTGACCGCGTCCATCGACTCGAAGGACAATCGCCGATGTCTAACTAGCCTCCCCCTTCAGAGATAATCGTCCTCTCTCTTGACACGTGATTCCCCCATTGACGCGCGTATCCTCACAAAACTCGCTCGTGCTTCTAAACTCGTGCGCCTCTGGAAGCCGGACAGATAAAACAGAAGAGAAGTTGTACTTTCAGAGCAAATCGGACGGAATCGGGACTCGGAAATTTTCTACGTTTGCTAATTAAGCTCTCGCTAATTAATTACGTAATTAAAAGATAAATATCTCTCGGATCGCGAAGTCTTACAGCATTTGCTCTCTGAAGGTGCTTCAGTCCCGTCGCTCGATAAATAAACATGCCTCCCATCGGATCTTAAAAATGTTGCTCTCGCGCGTTTGTACCTCTCGCCCGACCGCCGCGACTCTCGCTGCTTTACATTGCAATTTCTGCCGATGATCGTTGGAGCTGATACTCTGGCTCATTCAGCCACCGACTATGCTACTTCAGCGCTATCTTCCCCTCCTCTTTCCCTCTTCCCTCTTTTTAAAGCTCGATCTGTTTTTTTTTAAAGGGTTAATAATTGTCGAGCACCGCGGCCGCGGTGTTGGATATTACAAAACTTTATCTACTGCCTGGCCGCAAATGCAAAAGTTCAAAAGTCAACGTCGCCGTGGCGCCGCACGCGGCGATGCCGGGAGCCGACAAATTAAACTGCTAACGCGCCGAACTCGTTCGCGACGAAGTTAAACACGCATACAACATTAACGACGGTCGTGTATTATCTCTGGCCGGTTGATGGATGATGATAGACGGCCGCGCGCACTCGTGACGGTGGTGGCGGTGCTGGTTGTTGCAGCAAAGTAACGGGCAGGATCGGCGGCAGGATAGCTGCGAGGGTCTAATAATAACAGCCGTAATCAGATATCGGACACCGTTAGTCCAATTTCGGGCGGAAATCGTTGCCACTTGTTCGGCTGTCTTCGGAAGCTTTTCCTCTCGCAGCACTTTCCGCGCCGCGGCTACGCGTACTCCCCCCCTCCCCCTCCCCACCTCCCTCCTGTTCTCCATACTTCGCTCGTTAGTTTAACGATCGCGAAAGTAAGTAATCGCGATTTTAATTGGACTTATCGCTTTCACGAGCGCAATACTCGCTTACAACCTCCTCGGCAGCTTGCGCGCGCCAAGACATATCAATTTCTCTCCCGAGCCTTATGCACCCCTCCCCCCCCCCACCCTCGCCCTCGCTCCGCCTTCGTGTAGTCGGCAGGGAAGAGGCTGGCGCGCGCGTTAACACCAACGGTGCGAGCTTTTCGCCGGTTTCGAGATCCCGGCGCGCATAATACGCCAGATAACAACGCGATATCGGCGTAAAACTGAAACGCGCGCTGCATTCGAGCTCGAGTAATCAAATACGAGCGGGTTCTCAAGTTGAAATCGAGACCGTCAGTCCTATTACCCTTTTTCATAAGGGTACAAAGGAAACGCGCGCGCGGTAATAACGCGCGCCCGTAATAATATTACGGCGACTCTCGAGTCGGCCGAGAGCGCCCTCGAGTCGACTTTAAACGCGACGGCAGATCAAGGAGCGCTCTCTCTCTCTCTCTCTCTCTCTCCCTCCCTCCCTCTCTCTCTCTCTCTCTCATTCTCTCCCTCTTGCTCTCCGTCGAGCGACACAGAGAACGCGCGACAGCTTCTCACGAAACTGTAGACTCTTCGCATTTAAGACTCGCCCCGTGTCTTCGGAAGTAGCCGAAAGTAGAAAATGACTCTCTCAAAGCGAGAAAACTCGGTCGCGCGTGCCGAGGAGAGAGAGAGAGAGAGAGAGAGAGAACGGCCGCGCTCGCTCGCGTTAGCGAGCGTCTCAATCCGCGTGTGTTTCGCTGTAATCAGATAATGGACGACCGATGGGAGAGCGAGGTGATCGAGTACGGCGCCATCAACATCACCGGCTTTCGTATCGTGGACGCCACTCGACCTCACGTCAAGGATTTCCTGGCCGGCTGGCATCGCCTGGATCCCACCACGTCTCAAGGCGCCGGTCGTGAATCCATTTCCGTACGTACATACATACATACATACATACATACATACATACATACATACATATACATATATGTACGCGCATACATACGCATACGCACGCGTGCATGCATGCAAACGTACGTATGCGCGTACACGTCGTCTCTCTCGTCACTACGGCGACACTCTGCAGCGAGACTTCATCCTCTCCTATCTTTTTCTCGCGCGCGCGACGATGGCCTCTCGCCACTTGCACGGTGTCGCGCTCAGGGAGAAAACTACCCCTCCGCGCGCGCGAGACTCTCCGAGCAGCCGTCGAGCGCACCGATTCCTTCCCGATGGACCGAATACTTTCTCGGGTTTCCCCGTTGTCCTCCTGTCTTGCTATTCGCCGCCGCCGCCGTCGACGACGACGACGACGACAACGGTGGTAGGAAAGTTTGGCGCGAGGAACGAGAATCAAACAAGGATCGTCGCGGGTGTCGGTCCGTTCGCGAGTCGCACGGCCCGCTCTCTCCAGCTCGCACTCTTTCTCTCTCTCTCTCTCTCTCTCTCTCTCTCTCTCTCTCTCTCTGTGTGTGTGTGTGCACGGTGGCTTGAGACTAAACTTGTTAAACTGCACCCGTATGTAGAAACTTGGACTTTCCAGCGCGTTTATAAAGCGCCGCTCGTTCGACCGTGCCTGCGCGCCCGCGCGCGGACCTGTTTCACGTTCCTCTTAATGAGTCTTCCCTCTGACGGCGCGTTAACAATTTTCTTCTCGCGCTCTCTCTCCCTCTTGCGCGCGGACTTGACAAAAACTAACTGACGTTTAACGACGCGCGGCGCGACCGTGTCGTTTCGCCGGACTCTTTTTCGTCCGATGATCGCTGATAAATTGACGCTCAAATTAGGCATCGGTTGAGATGGATCGACGCGCGTGTCGCGCGAGGGGGGATCAACCGGGCTAATTGAAAGAGGCTGAAAGAATCTCACGTGGCGACGCGAGTCCTCCAGTCGTCGCGGTAAGGTGAGTCGCGCTTGTAACGGAGCGCGACGTTTATCGCGTGAAATTTCCGCGAGGATTTATTTGTTCGCCTATCGTGTTTCGTCGAAACACGAAATTGGAACATGTGCGAAACGAACGGACGGAATCGTCGGTATTATACGCTCATCCGCAACCGCGGATTTCCACGGAGAGTTAAGAAACACACTCGGCGGTTTCGCGTGATTTTCGCCGTGCGACAGCGAGCAACGGCGAACTATAATCCCCAAAATGGATACACCGTTAACGGGGTAAGGTTGGGCGGAATGCTATCTATGGATCTGAAAGCCCGGAAACAGGCCGCATGCGATCTAATGCAACGATTATCGTGCCCGATCGTTATACTCAGTGAGCAGCAAGCGCGGTTTTCCAACATTGGCGAAGTGCCCGAGGCGCTCTTGTCTTCGCGAATTTACGTATGTCCCTACGTGACGGCGAGCCCCTTTCTCGATCTTGCCAACCGCTCGATCTCACTTCGGAGAACACTCGCGAGACGAGGAAATCTTCGAGAGAGGAGAAACGAACGCCGAAGAGAAAACTCGCTATCGAAAATGTTCACTCTCTTTTCTCGTGTAAATCGACGGATCGGCAGGAGAGTGAGAGTGGAAAGAAGCTTACGGCTCTTGCCCTTCCTTCCTCCCTCTCTCCCTCCCTCCCTCCCGATCGGTCTCGTTTATCGAGATCGACGCTTACGCGAGATCGAGAGTGCGCCAACTAACTCGCTGTCGAAATTAGGCACAAGCCGCTCTGATGTACGACGCCGTGTTCGTCCTCGTCGAAGCCTTTAACAAGTTTCTGAGAAAAAGGACCGATAAGAATAACACGAGGCGAATAGCGACGCCCGGCAGCAGCCAGCCTACAAACGGGACGAGATCTCTGGACTGCAACAACAACCGCGGCTGGGTGACTCCGTGGGAGTACGGCGACAAAATCTCGAGGCTCTTGAGAAAGGTAAATGAATCTCATCAGCGCGGCTAAATGCGGCTAGCGCGCATATTATAATTCCATAATTATTGCGGATCAAGCTCGGTTGTATAGGTATCAATCGCCGCCTCGTCGTGCGTAATCCTACGCATAAATTACTATACGCGCCGCGCCGTTCAGTCATTACGGAGCGCGTGATTAAATTAAACAAATACGACAATCAACGGCAACAGCGGCGCGCGGGGTTCGCATTCTTCCGAATCGCCTGTGCGTATTGTTGCGTAACGCAATGTCGCACGCACGTGCGCTACGCACATGCGGATCTCGATATTCCGATATACGCGGCGCGCGCGATAACGATAATGCCGCGCGCGGCCACCTTATTTTCGGGCGAGAGCGCGCTCGATTTATCTTCGAATTCTCGAGACGCGATCCAAAGGACGGCGGGGTGCCCGCGATGTGTTGCGAAATACCATCGCGACCGAAATTGCCACGGACCCTTCTCGACGTATCTCTGCTCCTGACAGTAATTGGCGGTTATTCCGACTCTGGCGGCATTCCTGCGTTCGCGTCAAATAGTCCTCCGCCGTTCCGTCCCTTACGCATACGTTGCCGTTACACTCTTCCGTCTTATATATCGCCCGATCTTTTTGCATTTTACCCCGGCAATTTGTCATGTCACGGCTAAATCCGCGCCGGCGACGACAAAGTAGTTCGGCGGAAGAAAGCCCAAGATCAACGCGATTTTCGCGACGAATTCCGCGAGGACGGCGACACCGCGACTCGCCTCGAGCACACAGCATCGCCTTCTCCTCGCTCCGACTTTAATTTCGCGCGTCCCAACATCTCGCGATTCGCGATTCCAACATCTCGCTATCGTCAATTGGTCACGATGTTATTGGATACTGGCGATAACGCATAAACGCGCACTTGTGCCCATCCCGACTAGAAATTTATCCCATGGTCCTGATCAGGTTAACCTCATCCAGGTCCCAATAAGATAATATTATCCTAGTCCTAGTAAGTCATGTAACGCAGCGTGGATATCAGGACCTTAGTAAGGATTCATAGTCTGGTCCTTATTGAATTACCTTATGGGATCTTTATTACGTACGTTTCTTTTTTCAAATTATGGCTCCCGATTACTCGCCACGGCTATATTGGATGACGACATTAGAAATAAGAAATGACACGCTGAGAATTCTTTCATGTCATTTCCAAATAAAAAGATATTTGCACGAAATAATATTTTAGATCGCTTGAGTGTGCATACTTGTAAAATGTTTCGGAAAAAGAAACATAAAGTGAATATCATAAGATCATTAAGTATCACAAGGTGACAAAAGACATAAAGTAGTGTTAAGGAGAAAAGTTGCATGTCACGTTAATTTTACAGCTATTTATTGACTGCTAAAAAAAGGATAATTTCTACAGCATTTTACAAATATATTCAAGTGATGTGAAGTGTTTTCTTCAAATGCAAACATCTTTATATTTGGAAACGACACTCAAAAATTCTTTTGTTAAGACTTGATAATGCAAATCGTATTAGGTACAATGAATAAGATCCCGACAAGGACCTGATATTATATCATACACTAGGTTGGTACATTAAGTAAGGTCCTAATGTGGACCCAAACATTATAATTCTATAAAGGTCTTCCTTATTCATTTGTCGTTAGGACATTATAAGGACTGATTTACTTAGGATTACTTTTCATCCACTCTATTAGGTCCTTATCAATGTTAGATTGAATGAACCTGATCAAAATTTCTAGTCGGGATATTCCGAAGGCTGCGCGTAATTGACATTTCCATAATATTTCGATGTTATAACGCGATAACAAGGCAGCTGCGATCAGCAGCTGCACGCAATTAAAATTTACCTCGTCGCAGGTGGAGATCGAAGGGCTAACGGGAGAGATACGGTTCAACGACGACGGCCGTCGACAGAATTACACGCTTCACGTCGTCGAGATGACCGTCAACAGCGCCATGGTAAAAGTGAGTCTTTGTAACAAACTCGCGGACAAACGCGCACACATGCGTAGGAAAGCTGTTTCCTTTCGTGTCTGAGAGAGTGACGTATGTATGTTGTTCGTGAAAATTCGCGCGATCTTCGTTCTCCGAAATTTACGTCGAGCAGGTTGCATCGTGATCGGTCATTGCAGGTTGCCGAATGGACCGACGAGGGTGGCTTTCAAGCGATCGCCGCAAAATACGTGCGACTTCGTCCGCACACAGAGATCGAGAAGAATAAAACGTACATCGTCACTACGATATTGGTGAGCGAGCGATCGAGCGAGCTGAATGTTTTCGACCGAGCCGCGCGTCTCTCCGTGCAGCAGCATTGACTTTGTGACTTTTTCCTCGCACAGGAGGACCCATACATCATGAGGAAAATGTCGGACACGGGTGAAATATTAGTCGGGAACGATAGTTACGAAGGCTACTGCAAGGACCTGGCTGAGCTCATCGCCAAAAAGTTGGGCATATCGTGTAAGTCTGCGACGAAAGAGAAACCGAAAGAAAGAGAGAGAGAGAGAGAGAGAGGAAAGATGAACGAAAGCTGTTTCTTTTGCGCAAATTACATCTGCGATCGTGAAAGTTGCAAGTTGCTAAAGCTCGAACAAAATATTGTCACCCATCCTGAATTGGAGTTTTAGCATCACGGTGAATTCTTAACAAATCCATAGGAAATATATGCGCGCAAATATACGCGCACTACCTAACCCCTCTTTGAAAAACGATCGTAATTGCGTTCGCTCAATATTTGACGACGGCGATTAAAATATATTCATGTTGCATTACATCATTTGGTCATTGAATTATATCACTTGAATAAGTAAACAAATTGTCTCGCATTATCCCGTTATCCGGCGCGAGCAATTTCAATCGCCGTCGCACGAAATGTTAAACAATTCAATTCACGCCGGACGTGGATTATCTCCGCTGGGGCCGCGCGATCGCGTTGGATTCCCCGCGGTTCTGAAATGAACGATAAGAAGAAAGAGACTTTGTCTCGCGACTTCTCCTGCGCCGCTCGCGCGTACGCGCTCCCGCGCGCGCACAATCTCTGATTATCAATGCAAACTGCCGCCGGCTGACTCGCGCGGCAGCAATTGTACAAGCAAGAATCACTTTTATCGCGAGGCGAAATTTGCCGAAGTCAGCCCCACCCTTGACAACTTAAAAGACCTAACGAAGCCTCTTTCGTGCGCGCGCGCGCGGGATCGATAATGGAAAAAGTTCCGCGGAAGAAATGCTGTTTCGTGCGCCCCGTAAAGTACTTTCTTACGAATTTTCAGACGAGCTGCGGATCGTGAAGGACGGAAAATACGGCACAGAGAACCCGGATGTGCCGGGCGGTTGGGACGGCATGGTCGGGGAGCTTATCAGAAAGGTAAGTTCCGGTAATTTCGTTGTATACGCTACATCCGCGGGGGTGCGCGGCGGAGGGCGCGCTTTTTTTCCCCATCTCGAGGCCGGTCCCGGAAGTTTGCGCGAAAAAGACGCCGCGAGTAATTGGACTCAGTTTCGCGCAAGAGGGGACTAACTATTGATCGCCGGCGCGACGGGCCGTACTCGAAACGGGCTACGAAGGAGCTGTTTTATCTTCCGGCAGCAGGTTCGAATGCGCCCCACTAGATGCCCGGAGCTTGCAAGCTCCGCCGTCAATTGCCAGCCGATTTTAAGCTCCATCTGGAGGGAGCTTAGGATAAGCCGAAGGCACAACCGAGCTTTCCGTAACATCCGATGTAGGTACATCCGTTCACGTCGTCTCCGAGACGTCGGGGATAAAAATCGAGCGGGTGACGAAGTCGATGAGTCCACCGTAAACGCTTCAGATTATGCCGATGTCATGTCGTCTTTCGTTTCGAGTTCGCTCGCTCGCTCGCTCGCTCGCTAGAGTCTGGATTACGCGACAAAAAGCACGATTCTCGTGCAACAATCGAGAGGTACAACTGCATCTGCGTGGTGAACTTGAAGCCACTATTTTATGTAGTAGATTTGGGTAGCTGCGATCAACTGTGCGCTTTTACCTTCTCGATACTTCAACGATTCAACCCCCCCCCCCCCACGCATTTCGTTTTATCGCCGGGCGTAACATGTTTTTAACTCAACGTCAATTTTGGAAATTATCCAATCTAAGCGGTAAGCGTTACGCCCGCGGTTACATTTTTTCACGCGACCCGACGATTCACGCTGACCGTTACTTCTTCGCAGGAGGCCGACATTGCGATCGCTCCCATCACCATCACCTCCGAGCGAGAGCGCGTGATCGACTTTAGCAAGCCGTTCATGTCTCTCGGCATCAGCATCATGATAAAAAAGCCCATCAAACAAAAGCCCGGGGTCTTCAGCTTCCTGAATCCGCTGAGCAAGGAGATCTGGGTGTGCGTTATTTTCGCCTACATCGCAGTTTCCATCGTCCTGTTTATTGTCTCGAGGTAAGGAACTTTTCTTTTTTTCTTCTCGCGGGATCTACGCGATGTGCTTTTACGAAGAACACGCGAGAAAGCGCAGAATGCCTCGTTGCAATAACGCAAGCCAATCGCCAAACGGCGAGACCGTCATCGCTCATTCCCGCCGTGGCAAAAAAGAAAAAAAAAAAAAAAAAAAAAATAAAAGAAAAAAAGACACAAGTCGACGATTACGGCCGCACCAGACGTTCATTACGGACGAACAAGATCAGCCCCGACGCGTCTCGGTTAGGTTTCCGCAACGAAACGATAAACCGCTGGCTTCGTTCACAACGCGAGACTCGAGGAATTGGCCTTGCTCGCGCGGCGCTTTTACTCCGTCTCTCCGCAGGCCTTGCGCCCACCTTGCGTCGCAATAGTGTGTCAAGGCGCGACGATTACAGACGCGTTTATCGCGATACGGGCAGCAAATTATACCGCCGGCACGCCGCGCTTTTTCTCCATTTTCTCCGTCCCGTCCTGCGCGAGCGAGCGCCCGCGCATATACGCGTTTCTTATCACGCGCTAGCGCGATCAAACGCAGCGTTTCGTCGATAAACCACGATCGCTGCGGCGATATTAAAGCACCACGTCACGAAGATAAACGGCCGCGGTTCCACCTTGTCAATTAACGCCGCTCCGACGAGCAAGCAAGCCGAGAGTAATTGACGTGTACACCGTTCGAGTTATCCCGAGAGAGGCGAGCGCGTTCGCCTTCGGCGTTCGGCCGCGGATTCTCCACGCGCTCTAACGAGAACGTAATGAACGTTGCGAAGGCACGAAAACTCTTCGAGTGCTCCTTTAATCAACGCGAGACTCTTTCGACACCGCGCGCGCGGTGACTCGAGATTTTCTGCTCGGTGCGATTAAGCCAAGGGCGCACGAAGCGGAAAGCACACACGGGCTCGACTTTCTTTGCACAACTAATAAATATCACCGCCAACCATACACCAAGGTGTCGCGCCGCTTTCGCGAGAAACGCCGAGTCTCAGCCCCGAAATATACGCGGCGTTTGACGTCGCCATCGCGCGGCTTGGAGGCAGTTCTCGCCACTTACCGGCATCGGCAAGGCAGTCCGTCGCGTGCTGCCGCTGCGTCAAACAATGTATTTACTCTCACGCGAACATGCAATCTCGCCGCATTCACAGGAAGGCAGCGACATTATTCTTCAAGTAATGTCGGCGACTGTTTTTCGATGACCGTGCGGTGTGGACACGACAAACCGCGTCAAACATCTCGTTGAGAGCCTCGTCGAAGTGTGTCTCGCGTCCTTCCACGTCCCTCGACAAGCAATATCGTCGTTAACGGTCGACCGATCGCTCTGACTGATAATATAGATTCTCGCCGTACGAGTGGAGGGTCTTGACCATCAGCGGTAGCACAGATTCGGCCATTAGCGGACGCAACGAGCCCAGTTTGCAGCATCCTCACACACCGCAAGGTTCGCCCCACGTGCCAACTTCCAGCATGGCCAACGATTTCAGCATCGTAAACAGCCTCTGGTTCGCCCTGGCGGCGTTTATGCAACAGGGCTGCGATATCTCGCCCAGGTAAACACAGGCGTGCGCGTTATTAATTTCCGCTGGCAATTACCGTGCCGGAGCGGGAAGACGCGCGCGCGCGCGCGCGCGTCCACTCGACGTTTAATTTCTTCTAATCGCCGGATCCAACGTCGCCTCTCATTCACGCCGCGAGTCTCGAGTGCTCATCCCCCCTGTCTTTCTCTTCCCCTTCATCATCACCGGTCGCGGATTGCGGCAAACTGACGCGACGGTTGCTCCGCGCTTCTGAAATTCGCGCAATAAACGAGCGGACGCAATCTCGCGCGGCTCGCGTGTGCGGCAGCGCGATATCGCGTTCAAACACCGGTGTTCCTCGCCAACGTTCCTTCTCGCAGCTCCTCCCCTATTCCAGGTTTATTTCGAGACAAAACTCCCCTCCTTCAATTAATCTCGCCCACTCCGGCGGGAATTTCACGCAAAAATCCAACATTACCGGAAACATTCAAACGCGACTCAGACGAGAATGACCGCTTCGTTGACCGTGTCGTTGAGGAAAATTCCGCGCAATTATGAAGGACCTCGACGCTTATAAATCGTCTCACCGCCACCAGCGAGGCGGGGGTGGCCGGGGGTGTAAGCGGACGTCGCGCCATGTGTGTCGCGCAGTTTCGCGATTAACCGGCGTTCGGCCGGGCTCAGATATTTATCTCGGAGGGTAGCTCACACCGATGCGACTTTGCGAGAGAGGAGAGCGAGAGCGAGAGCGAGAGAGAGAGAGGAGAGAGGCAGATCGACGCGCGCAGCAAGTGGCAGGCAGTGCCGCGTTCTTCTCGGGGCTAATTATAGTCGCCCACTCCAGTCCCCCTCCATTTCCGTTTCCGCGGTATAAGCGCAGGTAAGTACATAAAGGCACAAGGAGAATAGCTCGCTTTACGGGGGACAGGTCGAGCGTGCAGCCCGGTAATAGGATGAATCGGCTAAGATTCTAAGAGTCCCTCCTCCCCCTCCCCTCCGTCGACGTTTCAAATCCCTCGCGTAAATTGTCGGGGCGTCGGTCGCCCTTGGCGCGCTCGTGCGTGTCACTCGAAAAGCTCCCTCTGCGCTTTTCGGCGGGCACGTCCGACCGCGTCAGGCCGACAGAGAGCTCGATCTTGAAGAACGACCTCCCTTTTTCTCTCCCTCTGCCCCTCTCGCCCGTGATTCGCAGATCGATTACCCCGTACCGCGCATTACGAGCGGCGCATCTAAAGAAGCCGATTTCTCACGGTCGCCACGGAGGATGTATCGTTAAATTGAGATTAGGTTTCTACGGAACAGCCCGTGCGTGCGCGGGACGGCGCGTGTATCACGAGTGAGGAATCTCCCGCGGGCCGCGAGCCGCGTTAAGATTGTATCACACTAGCGATCGCGGCTGCGGCTAAATACTGTTAACATACTGTCACACGTACAATCCCAGAGAGATGGGGTTTACATTCTACGAGATCTACCAAATAACAGTCTATCTCCGTATTAAATTGTTTTGACATTTAAAAAGAAATATGTAACACATAAAACAACACTAGATATAACCTTATTTGATTAATGATCACCGACTTCTACATACTACGAGGGCAGTCTGAAAAGTTCTCGGCCTACCAACGAGAGAAAATTCTTTTTGCCGTGAATTATGTTTCAATTTTCAATATAATCTCCTGAAACTTCAATACATTTATTCCAACGTTTTTTCCAATAATTCAATACCATCATTAAAGTGTGATTCCGGGAGGTTCTTTTCGCTCTGGTGGCCAGTGGTGGATCCAAGTTTCATCAACAGTTACGAAACGACGCTTGAAATCCATTTTATTTTGCTTAAAACGATCCAAACACGCTTGAGAAATACGCATTCGAATTTCGCGTCTTTGGTCAATTGTTTGGTCAAAGCAAATGCGGCACCCATCTTGCACAAAGCTTTTTCAACTGTGGTGCTACTACTCGAGTGATTTGACAGACCGAATAAAATCTTACATGGGTTTTTATATATCAGAGATGCCACTTTCCAATACGATTATAGTTTGACAGTTTCTAATGCCATGTATGTTACGTGTCAGGTCGAGAACTTTTCAGACTGCCTACGTATTAAGTAAATGTGATTATGACGAGCGCGTGATGATTATATGGAGTTCTGTGATTAGTCATGACTCGAAAAATCGACAGCCGTCCAAACGACAGTCGTGAGTCGCAGCCGCGAGTCGCTACTTTCTGACTGGTCGAGAAAGAATCGCAATCGCAATCGCAATCGCAGCCGCAGTCGCAGTCGCGAGTCGCTAGTGTGATACACGCGTTACGCCTCGCTTCGAGACGAAAAACGATTGCTAGAAAGGCATAAATCACGCGCGTTATATTCAGTCTCTCCGGGTGTGCTCGCGACCGCGCCAGCCCCGCTCGTACATTATTCCCGCGATAAATGCGCGTTATCGCCATCAGCAGCGTCATTATACTCTCGTTAGTAAACATTTCAATCGCCCTTATCTCGCGGTACTCTCCTTCGCACGTGCGGTCGGCGATCGCTCTCTATTCGTCAAGATCGACCATGTAGCGCGCTTAACGACATAAATATTAGCCCCCGTAACTCGGGCAAGAGCGGATTCATTAGATTCGTGTCGCGCGATAATTACAACCTAAATTAAATCGAACTCGAGCGCGCGCTCGCGCGACTCGCGGAGAGAGATCGCGCCGCCGCCGGCCGCGCCGGGCGGCGGGGCGATAAAAATTCACGGCGCTATCACGTGCGACGTGTAATTTAGATCGGCTTCATAATCGCCGGACAATTATGGCGGTCGCCGTGCGAGGTCGACTCATTTGCACAAAGTGTGCCGCACGTGCAAAAATGCCGAGCGCGACACGTGTAGCATTTGTTTGCACATCTTTCAACGTTTCGCGAGCCATCATTCCGTACTCCGTCTTCTTCTTCTTCTTCTTCTTCTTCTTCTTCTTCTTCTTCTTCTTCTTCTTCTTCTCCTTCTTCGAGCAGCGTCGAATCGCGCGATGACACCGGCGAGTGCCGATTCAACGACTCTGCAATCCTCCCTGACTTTAATTCGTTTTTATTCTCGACTTCACCTCCTCCTCCCCCTTGACTTGATTATTGATGATTTTTATTCAGTTCGCGGGGAGTCGAACGCTCTGCGCGATTCGCGCGTCATTCCCTGAGAACCGCGAAACCGTTATAATAATTTTCTGTGTAAGCAAGTCGCCATTGTCGCGAAGATGTATAGCGCGGCGCCGCGCTTCGAAATGTCCCGTCACGCAGTGTATGATCTTAGAATATAATGCCGCGGCTTGGATAACGATTTTCGAGCAAACATTTCAGGCTGCAGACAAGTGGCGCATCTATAAACAAAGCACAATTTGCTCGCATATTCAAAACATTGTTGCACTGGGTGGGAGCGCCCAGCATGAATAGAATATTCCGCGCGATAGCGCTACATTGTGCTTCAAAGCACACCGCGCAGTAATGCGATAGAATTCAGATGACATCTCGCGTTTCTTCAATGCGCGCGCACACACACACACACCCGTTGGATTCTAGATTATAGCATTCGATGTTTATCGCGATCGCCAGATCGCACAAGACCGTGTGGAAATTCCAATGATTTAATCAATCATCTCTCTCTCTCTCTCTCTCTCTCTCTCTCTCTCTCGGCTGTGATTCACGGATCAATTAGCACAAATCTCCGCGTTACGAGCGACGCGTGTAAACAAGTCAATCTCTTCCACGCATGTCGGAGGATTTATCATTAAATCGAGACAGGGTAGTTTTCCAGAGCAAAGCTGTACGCGAAGGCAAACCGCGCGCGCTCGTATCTGCTCGAGAATCCTCGTGTCGCATTTCATCGTGCATGTCTGTCCTTCGTGCTGAATTTTGAAAATAATCCTCACGATACGCGCGCGGCGAAAAAAGCGACTCGCTTTTTATCGCCAGTTGTTAGTCTCGCTCGATTTATTTATATAAAGATAGAAAAGACACAGCGATTGGCTACATTTTAATTTCCGACCTTCTATTATTCGCTGAAACCCCGCCTCGCGTCACGCCCGAAGCACGCGCCGCGACACGCTAACGCAACGCTAACACAACGGGTTGGGAGACACTGTCCCGCGGAGCCGCATGCATTCCTGCGGAGTCGCAACAAAAGTGATCGTTACGAGTACGCGCGCGTTTTGTCGTTTACGCGGAGCAGACCGCGTGCTCACTCCGAAACTGGGTCTCAATTAATTTACATTTGGCTGTATCCAGTGTGCGCCACCCCATCCTAGTAGCCCCCTTGATTAATGGTTTAAATATTCGCCCGGTGGCGATATGAATTGTAAATTTCGTGGAACCCAGGCGGCCCACCATCTCTGTCCTCCTTCTCTCTCCCTCTCCCTCCCTCTCTCTCTCTGTGCTTTTCCTCCTCTTCTCTTTCGTTCACCCTCCTTTGCCCCCATCTTCTCTCTCTCTCTCTCTCTCTTTCTCTCTCTCTCTCTCTCTCTCTCTCTCTCTTTCCTTCCCTTCATCCCGCCCTTTCCGTCGCCCTCTCGACGCTCATCTTTCGCAAAGCCGACCGGCCACGACGTGAACGCACATAATTAAGCCGGCAGATTGATCGAATTTTCGCGAATGTGTTACGACTTTGATCCCGCAACGGCCATAATCACTCAAAGGATATCCGCGATGCCGTTTGCACACCGTGTGTAAGAATCGTTGTTCCGAGATGATGTCTGCCGAATCATCGACAGGTCCATATCCGGCCGCATCGCCGGCAGCGTCTGGTGGTTCTTCACTCTGATTTTGATATCCTCCTACACCGCCAATCTCGCCGCGTTTCTGACTATCGAGAGGATGGTCACGCCGATCAACTCGCCCGAGGATTTGGCGTCGCAGACGGAGGTACAATACGGCACCCTCGCCCACGGCTCCACCTGGGATTTTTTTCGAGTGAGTACTCGCCAACGATGTTGCCCCCCTCCCACCCTCGGCCTCATTCTCTCGCGCGATCCCGAGTTACGAGCGTCGTTGAATCTCAACGCATTCGACGATGTAGGACCGCTTTTACCTCGCGCCGCTCTCTTTCTCTCTCTCTCTCTCTCTCTCTCTCTCTCTCTCTCTCTCTCTCTCTCTCTCTCTCTCTCTCTCTCTCACTCTCGCCTGTTCGCAGAAATCTCAGATCAGTCTCTACAGCAAGATGTGGGAGTTCATGAACTCGCGGAAGCACGTGTTCGTCAAGTCGTACGAGGAGGGAATACGAAGAGTGCGAACGAGTAAGGGCAAGTACGCGCTTCTGATAGAGAGCCCGACGAACGAGTACATCAACGAGAGAGAGCCCTGCGACACGATGAAGGTCGGCAGGAATCTCGACGCCAAGGGATTTGGCATCGCGACGCCGCTCGGATCACCGCTCAAGTGAGTTCCCGTTGACGATGTGTCGTAATTGAGCTACCACGACTGATGATACCGTATCGACGAGATCTGCGCGCCTCATTCCTTCCGGCCGCTGTTTTTAACGGGCAATAAAGCGAGAGGGATAAAAAGATATTACAGCCGGACGTAATGTCCGTCTTCCGCTTCCGATGATTGTTGCGATCGCGGTCGTGAGATCGACGAGTCACGCTCGTCTCTGTCGCGACTCGATTCAGTCCGATCACAGCTGGACTGCGAGTGATTTTACACCCTTGTGGAGAATCGATCTCCACACCTCGCGAAACGGCAGCGCGCCGCGACGGAAGGGACACTTGATATATTTTCGTTGAACAGAAGAGCAGGTAATTAACGAGGTTTTGTAGTCATCAAGGTAAAACACCGAGATCTCCCGGCGCGGCCCCCCCCCTCCCCGCTCCTCTTTCTCTCTCTCTACTCTTTCGCGCAATCACTTCGTCTTTGTCTCTTTCGAGCCTTTTTGTGGCTTCCGCTTCTCGTCCCGTTGCGCGTTGCGGAGTGTTGTCGCACATCATTACGCGCAATTAGCATGGAAAAACTCTCGCGCCCCCTTTTCCGTGTCATTACCCTTTACAGAATACGTTTACCATCGACCAACGCTATTTCGCGTATCGCGTTTCGACATGGCGTTAACATCCCCGACTCTTTGGCCCGTACAAGCCGGATCTATCTGCTCGCCCTTTCATTTTACGCTCACTAATTCCGCACCCTTTTCGAGTGATTAACTACATGTCAATTTGTTCCAGCCGTGTTAAAAATACACCGTTGTTCCTACGCCGAGATATGTGAAGTTTATTTCGACAATTTGGCGCGATTGCTGATCGCATAATTTATTTTGAATCCCAAAGTCGCGGGACTTTATAAACTCAACTATATGAACTGATATTGATTAATGAACCTCAACTTTCGTTACGACGTATCTTTTGGTAATACATCACATTCTATAGACCGACGGCCTTTTCTATTTCCCACAGAAATCCGCGCGAAATTCAATCGTAATGACTCCCCGGCGTTTTCTCCGTGCGGAAATGTTTGACTTTGATTAAATTTTCGAACACGCCGCTGTAATATGTAGCAAGATAAAATTAATGTATTAAAATTGAAAACGTAATGATGCGCGTGCGACTTTGGAATCGTGGTTTCCGACTCGAAAGCCACCGCGGCCCCGACATTTTCATCTTGGGATTTACGGGTTCTAATTAAGCTCTAAAGCGCGCTATTAAGGCATCGTATGATAATCTCGGAGCGTCGCGCACACAATAGAGCGGGCTGGAAAAAATGTATGAATATAAGCATTTGTCGCCACGTTAATTTCCATAATGTGACGAGCAGGCTTACCGCGGACGCGGGCGCCGGTAAATACGCGCAAATTTGCATGTTATTGATTTTTTTAACCGCGCGACCCTTGACGTTTCGTGCAACATGCTCGCGCGATCTCATCCCTCGCGACTCACACGCTGTCTTCGGATCGTTCAAGCAATACCGCGCGCGCGGCGCGGACCGACGGATAATTGGCGGTGCTATGCAAACAGCAGCTTTATTATATCTACCCACACACGCGCGCGCGCGCGCGCACGCACGCACACCGACGAACAACAGCGCCCACCACACCGCGCGTGGCTTCGTCTCCATCTTTTTTTACCGACGTTCCCCAGCCGACCGCTTGCCGCGCTCCCTCTCTCCTCATCGCAGCCTTTACCGGCAGATTGGAGGGGAAACTTCACTCGGGATATTCCTTGAAGCTTAATTAAAGAAAGTTCCCTCGACTTTTTCAAACACACCTTATTAGGCGCATTGCCGTTATTGTGCCTCGAGAGAGATGCCCCCCCCGATTACCTATTCGCGCCTAATTAGATGGAAGATCTCGAACATGCCTCGTGCTCGGTGATTGAAATACGTGGCGAAATATGAGGAGAGGAGTCGCTTGACGTGAAATTATCGCGAGACATAATATAATTGCGCGATCTCGGCGATTGCATTGTTCTCTCTTCTCCCCCGCTCTCTCTCTCTCTCTCTCTCTCTCTCTCTCTCTTTCTCCGTGCCGTGCATATACGCTGTCGCGTGTACGCTCGCATTGTATTGTATGTACGGCATTTATTTTCAACAATATTTTCGCGAAACAGGGATCCCATAAACCTGGCGGTGCTGTCACTGAAGGAAAACGGAGAATTGGCAAAGTTGGTGGAACGATGGTGGTACGAGAGAACGGAATGTCGGCACGGCGACAAGCAGGACGCCACCCGAAACGAGTTATCGCTGAGCAACGTGGCGGGACTATTTTATATCCTCATCGGTGGCCTTCTCTTGGCACTCGCCGTGGCTCTTTTGGAATTCTGCTACAAGTCGCATACAGAAGCGACCAGAGCGAAGGTAATAATTCATATAGGGTATCTCGCGGCCATTACTACGTGCCCGATTTTTCATATCGGCCCGATACTGCCAGCCGCTACTGACCCAGCATAGATTACGATTAAACGATAACCCGGGCCTGATGCGGGCGATCAATTTTTCGCCGAACATCGGATCTCCAAATTACACGCGGCGCATCATTTCAAAAACGTGACGGATTACCCAAGGATCTTTGCGCGAACAAAATACGAAGCGAAACTTCGTGTCTTATAATGACAAAAAATTCGGATGATTTATATGCCCGCGTTTAGATATTAGTAGATAGTTCCGATATTTTTGTATCACGTAACGATACGTTCAATCACGTCGATTCTCCGGCGAGATACGAGAGCGTCTAAAGAGTTTACAATCTTCTTTTTTTTACGGGCTGCACGTGCGCGTATAATCTCGTTATAATAATCTGCGGGACGAGGAGAGGAGTTCGCGAAGGATCTGTCGCGATTAAGTCGCTCGTTTCTCGCCCTTTTAGCCGATCACGGCGCTCGACTCCTTCATGGCGGCGATAAAAGAGCGGCGTGAACACGTGCGAGAACTTTTAGCGAAGTCGATAAATTTTGTTTCACGTCGCTACGTCGACTCGTTAGCGAGTTTCAGTCGTTTAGAGTCGCGCGGCGTCGACGAGAGCAGTTTTCGGCGAGGCGCCTCGGCTTCGGCCTCGCCGCGCTACGTCTGTCACGTGCTGCACTTGTCTCTGTGACTGAGGCGAATGACCGGCGTGGTGGGGGGACCGCATGGTGCAGCGCGTAGTCATAGCAACGGCGAAGCGGCCATGCTGGAAGGTCGCGTGAATGGGGGAAGGCCGCGTGCCGTCACGTACGACGCGGCGATACAGTGTTACGAGAGAACAACGTTGCGGAATCCGGCTATTGTTTTTCGATCACGCGTCACGCGACCTACCCCACGCCCACGGCAGCGCGCAGCGCTGTCCGATCGAGAGCGCGGATCGATACTACAAAAATCTCTAACTTCACTTCTAGACGTCGTAGCGACTTGGGACGAAGATCGTTGGAAAGGGAAAATTATCGCGCTGCTGGTGAACGTGTAATCGTTCCTCCATGGAAGAAGATCGATTAACGCAGTCGCGTAAACGCGAGAGACATCGATCTTCGTGCTTGCGTTAAAGTGCACACGTTAATCTACGTTAAAGACCGATGAAAAAGCATGGCTCAGATTTTTAATACGAAACGTCAGTCTTGCGTCATCGATGGATGTAAAGTGCGATTTGAAGGAAAAGGAAAGTAACAATAACGGGAAGGAGCTTCCGATACATTTGAGAATTTATCTGCTGGCAAATTTTGAATGTTAATTTGTTTCATCGTGAATTATACGTCCGATGTGCTCGTGCGATACCGCTTACTTTTCTCAAATAAATCAATCGGCTGATTTCGGCGTAAAAAAAGAGGTTTCTCCTAAAATTTCTCAACACTCTTAATGAAGGAGCGTTCAATAATAATGTGATCACAGCTTGAATGTAAAATGTAAGAATGTAAAATTCTCTAACCGTATTATTCGTAAAATCTAATATTCCGTTGAATTTAATACTCGCATTTTTCGAGTACTTGGAATTTTTCGGACGTCTTTATGATTATGAAGGAGAAAAGCTTATGCAGAGGACACTCATGAAATACTATTCGTATCTTCTTTAGATACCTTTGTCGGACGCCATGAAGGCGAAAGCGCGACTCACCATCGGTGCTGGTCGCGATTTCGACAATGGACGGGTAAGTGATGGCAACGAAGAAATTCTTTACCCTTATGTTCGCATATACGCATACTCGCATACGGTATCAGTAGAGATTGTTTGGCAAGAGATGCTCCGACCGAACGTTCCGCCGATCCAAAGAAAAAGAAAAAAAGAAAGAAACTTAACGGAAAAGAAGAAAAGGCAGAAACATGTGTATAATTAGATGCAAAGCGCGACGTCGATTCAATTGCCTTCCTACCGCTCAAACGTCTCACAGTTTATCCGCGCAACAATATATATCTGCGCTCGTCAAATCGCCCGGCACGGGCGAAATGAAGTGCGCAGACTGTATCCACGTTTACTGCCAATATCTATACGGGGGCGAGGGGTAATAAAATTCGCGGTGGTTCGAGCGGCGGACGGCCTGCGCGCGTAGCACATACAGGCCTCCGCCGACTAGTGCATACACCGTTGTCGATTAATTATGTTAATTAGCGCGATAACGTGCGCAGGCTGCCATCCGTTAAATTGCATATCAATTAATTAATTAATTGCCCATTAATCGATCTCTGCCCTTGTCGAATCGCTGCGCTAATTTGACGCGACGCGGCGCGGCGCGGCGCGCGAAACATCGGCGGCGCGTTCTCCGGTCGCGCAATTACTTACTTCGGTCTCGAGCCAAAGGTATCGATGTATCATAAAACATACATTCGCAACAAGAGCATCGTACATTATACATACGCATATATACATGAGACCTATACATTATCCATACATATATATAGATGAACGATATAGAGTACGGCTTGGCATGCAGTTAGCAAGCGTAAACGTTTGACACACTCTCGTTAGTTGCGCCGGACTTCGACCCGGCCACGTTTAACGTCCCAGAGTTTCAGCCCGAGTCTCCAAGAGACCGATCGACCAAGAGGACTAAGACCGATCGATATTTGACATACATATATATCCATATATGTATATTATACCTATACATATGTATGCGTACGTGCGTGCGATGTGCGGCTGGCTGGATGTGTTGCGCTCTCTTCTGTTTCTCTCGTCTCTCTTTTTTTACTCAACGGGGCGGAGGGGGGGAGGGGGACACGCGTGCGGGGGCGGCGACGTGCGGATTTGCTCGTTCGCGCCTTTCGTTCTACTTTGGGTTTTTGTCTCTAGTGGTACGGACTGCAGAGTTAGACGGAGGATGCATGCGCCTTTCCCGGGACCATATGTGAGTACTCTCGCCCTTAATTTTAATCCCACTCTCTCTCTCTCTCTCTCTCTCTCTCTCTCTCTCTCTCTCTCTCTCTCTCTCTTTGCGATACTCGTTTCTCCCGCTTTCCTCCCCGTGTCTCATTCCCCGGCCTCGTCTAACGTTCGCGTTCGCGAGCGACAGTTGCAGCTCTCGACGTCTCTCTCTCTCTCTCTCTCTCTCTCTCTCTCTCTCTCTCTCTCTCTCTCTCTCTCTCTCTCTCCCCCTCTCTCCCTCTCTCCCTCTTTCTCTAGATTTTTACGCGGCGAGCGTGCGTTAGACGGCTCCGCTCGGGGCTCGCATGACTTCTCACTCTTTTTTTCTGTCTTTCGCTTTGTGTGTGTTGGTGGCTTCTGCATGAAATACCGTCGCGCGCGGTCCTAACCGCACCGCGCCACCGAATATCCTGGAATGTTGTCTGTCCCGCAACCAAGGATAAGCCGTTGTCCCATCGTACGGGTATGAATCTCTCCTGGCGCGTCTCTCCAAACTCGCGATAAATTCTCGACAACTATGGCCCAGCAATCGATGCATAGCCGGTGTCTCTGCGAGAGACAAGAGACATCGACATCGACATCGCATTGTTAGCTTTCGACGCGTCTTTCGAATCTGTCTCGGTATGAAGAAGGAAAATAAGAATACATTGCCACGTCGATGTATATGCCTCTGCACGGTGTATCCTTTACGCTCCTCCCAGAGTTGGATAGTATATGTATCTGCACAAGAAGCTGCTTTCCTCTCGAACTTTTCGTCACTTCGCAGCCGTCTCACATTAGACATTGCGACGTTTCACGTCCGATCGCGGCAATCTTCCGCGAGTCGATTCATTAACGCGCGCTCGAGTCGGATCGGCAGTCACATTTGTCTTCGACAACTCGCCGGAGGCAAAATGAAAAAAGTTTCGCGGATATTACACGTCTCGAGGAAGATTGCGGTCAAATCGCCCATGAATCTCTCCACTTTCCGATATGTGAGCGTCGTAATAAATATCTACTACACTACTACTACTACTACTACTACTACTACCATCATAGCGTAGTATTCTGTTTTAGAGATACGATTGTAAAATCTCCGTTTCCACAAGACGCGTCAATCGCGCGACGTCTCTCTCTCTCTCTCTCTCTGTGTGTGTGTGTGTGTGTGTGTGTGTGTGTGCGTGCGTGGGTGTGTGTACTGTCGAACTCGCATTCTCAATCCCGCCACCTCTCCCGCCACCTCACATTCGCCCACTCGATCATTTTCCCCACATCGAGTGCGCGCGATCTTTCTTTCTTTCTGCCTTTAGCGGTTCACTCTTGCGCTGGCGGCTTGGCACGGCTTAAGCAAGTTACGATGTACCGTAAACAAGGTGTGCGCTACGACGCCACGGTAGCCCACTGCATGCCGCTATTCAAGTTCACTATGCAAAGCTTACAGGGCAGCCGGCAGACAAACGCGTGAATTCGAGGTCGCTTCTGTTGACTCTTTGTGTCGGTGTGCATGTGCGCTCGATCGATCGTGTCCGTCCACGGAGCAAGACAAACAAAAATTTGGTCCGTCGCGAACAAGTCCGTCGTGACAATTTACGTTACACGCTCGATCCCTATACGCCTTCGATCCCGGCTCGAAATTATTCGCGGAGAAGGAAAGGAGAAAAGAATCGAAAGGAGCAGCGAGGCGCTTAGACAAGTACAACGGGAAAGTCTCGCGGTTGAATTTCAAGCTTGGTACGAGGCGACGAGCGACGGCGGCGAACGTGGATGAAAAAATTGTGTGTAGCGTATCACGCAACAGTCGGACACGCGGAAAAGTGCGCGAGAAAAGTTGTGCGCCGCGAGATATAGTTTTGAGAGACAAAAGGTGAAGTAACAGGTCTCACTCACACGTTAGAGAAATCACACACCCGTAGTCCCGCAGTCTTCCACACAATTCTGCCAATCAACTACCACTGGAAGAATTCTGTCAATTGTGAAACTCCCACTGTCTCTTGTCGATATCTGTGTCTGAGCTGGTATACCGAATATTGTTCAGTTTCGAGATTATCCGGACGGCTGATCTTTCAAGCCATCTTATCGCTATGCACCGGAATGATTTCTGTATATTTCTGTATATTTGTATATACGGGTCTCAACACCTGAGATAATCTAGCCGCGGCACAACTTACGCCCTGACCTTTGCAAATTTTGAAAAAAAAAAAAAAAAAGAAAAAGAAAAAAATTGTGTAGGTTCGCAATAACCAAATTCAGAGGAAAAGTGCAACGATACGCGAATCGTATCGTATAGAACATAAGTTCGTTCTTCCGCCGCGTCCTTTCCTCGCGCTTCGACCTCGGGAACTCGAGATCCCGCCGACGTCGGTCGTGCGAGAAGCGATAATCGAGAAATTGCCACAATTAGAAGGTTACTAGCCCGAGCGAAGTCGCGACGCGCTGTTGTAATGCAGACCGTTGCAATTTGCAGTACTACACTCCAGCAAACGCGATTGGGAATACCGAGGGCGAGCAGGTACACAGCAATACACATACCCAGGTGTAAACCACTACCTGGAGAGCCCGAGCGACTCGCCCGCCGTTTCGCTGCCCACGCCCCCGCCGCCGCCGCTGGTGGCACCTCCGCCGCCACCCCCGCCGCCCAGGAGACCACGGAGGAGCGTCACTTTCGCTGAGTCGCCGCCGAAGAGCCCGAAGAAGAAGAGCCCGAAATTCATCTTCCAGCGGAAACTCAACATCGCGACGCTCGACGTGGCGGTGCCGTGGACGCCGGCGTCCCCGCGGCACTGGTCCGGCCTGGACGACAAGCCGGAATACATCACGTAAACGCCGAAGCGACGAAGGAAGGAAACGCTCTCGGCGTCTCTCCGCTGTGACGACCTCGGCTGTCCTTGTGTGTCGCCGCGTTCGCATGTTGCCGCGCGATCAGCGCGAGCTGATGGCGAGAGAACCTCTCATGGTCTCTCTCTCTCTCCCCCCCCTCCTACCCCCCTTTTACCCCTCCAGCCCTCTCTCTCTCTCTCTCTCTCTCTCTCTCTCTCTCACTCTCCTTCTCTCTCTCTCCTTCAGTTTCTCGCCAGAGAAGCGAATAATCCGAGCTCGAGTGACGAAGCGATTGGAAGCACTGATATTTTTATAGAGCAATAATCGTAAGAGACATTAAAAGGAAAAAAGAAAAGAAAGGAGAAAAAAGAGAAGAAGGAAGAGGTCGACTTTGCACTGTAATAATTCGCGATGCAGTCACGAGCTGCTGCTGCTGCTGCTGCTGCTGCTGCATCGATCTCGGCGCATTCGAAAGCGAGTACTTAGGAAGTTAAAAGACTAGCGTCCCCCTTCCCTCCCCCCTCTCTCATCCCAGTAAATATCGGAACGCGATTGTCACAATGCAGAATAATGATGCCAATGATAATTGGATAACATCGGCACGTTTCTCGAATCGCGAGTGGCCACCGCGCACTCGAGGCTTCGGATTATTTTCGCGACCGACACAGCCGAGGTCGCCATTGTGGGGCAACCGAATTGGAGAAACTTTGAACACACAAATCCGCGTTTCGTACTTTCTGTCCGTGGCTACTACTTTCTTCGCTGAAGTCACGTGCTTTGGAAAGTGTACGTTTAATTCGAGCAATTTTCTACGAATCACCTCTCTCGAGAAAAAAAAAAAAAAGGAAAAAGACAAGACAAGGAAAAAAACTGAGCGACATCTCGCTATTCTTCTTCGTTCTTTTTTCAAGCGCGTCTCACTGTCGCGAGAACGAGACACGGTCGGTGGCTCTTCTTGGTGATTAACCGTTACAAGTGAAAAAACGAAACACATCTGTATGTATGTATAAATATGCTAGCATAAATCGCACATGATGAAAGTATATCGGAAGCGCGGACTTCAGGCTCAAGGAGGAAGCGGCAGCTACACCCTCAGAAATCGGCGGGGTCTTTCGCTGCGAAATCGTTCGCCCGACAGGTCGACGATCAAAGTATTTCCCAAACTCCGGCCGGTCCGCAGCGGTGAAGAGAGAACGGGGTCCGTCGGCCCCGTCGGCCGAGAATCCTTTGTACATTGTAAATAACCGTAAGCGCGAATCAAATAAGAATCAAAAAGCAAACGAATTCACGAAATCGCCGGCGGCGATGAAGCCGCCGCCGCCGCCGCCGATTGCGATAGTATAATGATGGTCCTGGGATGGGTGCATGTGCATCCAAACGTAACTCGTACTGCATACTTACTGCCATATAACGAGAAAAAAAAAAACGACAAGAAAGAAAAGGAGGAGGAGGAGGAGAACAAAGAAAGGAGAACGCGCCGTGTTCTCGCGGGTGGAAGAGAGAAGGAGGAAGCCCGCGAATTCGGGCGGTTAGTTCGCCGTGTTCGCGGAGAGTTATTTAGAACGTCGCGTGCCAAAAGAGAGAGACTGTCGATCGTGACGACGACGCTACTATTATTCTTATTAATAATATTACCATAGTTATATTATAATAATAACATATAAATATATTATTATACGAATTACGATTACCGATTACTGTATAAGGGGGTAACTATTTTGTGCAATGCGAGAGTGGAGTCTGACGCCGCGAGAGAGGCGGAGTCACAAGAGTTTTTTAACTGAGAGGAAAGGGGGTGTATAATCGCACCGGTGCGTGAATGCTGCGAAAAAGCGGAATAGTACATAATATATATATATATATATATATATATAAATATATATATATATAAATGTATGTATACATATATATATACATATATATACATATATATATATATATATACACATACCTATAAATATAAATATAAATATGCAAATATAAGTATAAATACAAAAAATATAAATAAATGAATATAAATATAAATATACATAACTTATAGACGTTTATCGCGAGTATAAGGTGTGTGCGAGCGCGCGAGTCACGTGTGAGAAGAGGGGTGCGTATGGATTTAGGTTAAACTCGTGTAAACGCGTTATAAAGTACCTAACAGCGCCAGATCGCGCCGGTCCGGATCTCGCGCTGGGTGAACGCGGCTCGATTGTCGTCCTCGTCTCTTTCCTCGGTACCGTCTCCGAAAGCCGTCTCGCGACGGGCATTTACCGTGCGTCGACGGATCGCCGCGATCTGGCTCGAGAAACGACGTTTACGGCCATGGTTTTCGTGCCAAGGGACGATATCTCCCGCCCATATAGTTCGACGCTGCATTATCCACGACAGGCACGCTACAAATGCACGCGCTCTTAAGGGCGCAGATTGTGATTACGCAAGCCGTCTTTTAACACTTCATCGACCGCGGTCGCGAGCTCTCGCGCGCGCGCATTCCGGGGGAAAATCTGCCATTTTATACGAGAAAACAGGACTGATACGCGATCGACGGACAGTACGACAGTCGATAAGTCCAAGGCGCGACGCCTCCAACTTTTTTAAAAATCGTATTACTCGCGACTACACTCGATTATCTCCTACGAATCAAAGTGATCGCGCGCACGCGCGCGTGTATGTAGGATTTTCACGCATAGAACGTTGCAATTTTTATCGCGGAATTTTGGCCGACGTCAGAGACGCTCGGGAAGATTGACCGATTCGCGCGGAAATAAACCCGCGGATCGCGATTCCCGAGCACGTCGCTCGACAATACACCGACGATCAATCGACGAAAATAAATTCGGGACGATGAGACGAACGGAACTCTGCGCGAAGGCAGCGGTTATCTGATCGCGCAAGTCAAATCGCTAATCGATAATTAGAATCGCGCCGAATTTTCAGGCGCGCTCGGAGACGTCGGTCGTACATAAAAATAATTGCAAACGCAATTTAGCTCGCCTCAATGTGTCGGACGTGACGGCGGGGGAAATCGGGAGCCAAATTACGAGCCGCCACGTGTAAAGCCGAATCTCTCTCTCTCTCTCTCTCTCTCTCTCTTCTCTCTCTCTTCTCTCTCTCTTCAAATGCTTCGCCCGTACGGATAACGCGCGCTGAATCGCGGCGCGTCACGCATTTCCAATTCCCATGTAAATATCGTAAATATCGGCCGGATTACCGAACCAGCACGAACGTCCTTTTGCATCGCGTCCCGCGGTTATTGAAAGTTCCCACGCGACGTGTCCGTCGCAACTCGCTTTGGCATACACCCGCACCATCTTACAACGAAATAACGTTCCGACGCTCCGTCGTGGGCTGCTGACGTTATTCGTTACGCGTTTCGTCGATTTTTCTACGTCGACGACACACTGTCTCGCACGTCGGTATCGTCGCGCGATATCGAGTCGTCCAATTCGCGACGCACAGCATCGCTCGCAGCGATCGCATTGTTACCATCCACGAGGACGGCTCCTCCGAGGAGGAGTCGCGAGCGACGCGATGGGAGAGACGGGCGTGCTGGAGCGGGAAAGCGCGCGCGGCCTTTACTCGTGGCGGCCGTCGAGAGCGATCAACCTATCATATCGTCAGAATTTCTTATTACAATTAATTGTTATCTATCACCGATTAATAAAGCGATAGATAATGCGTATCGGGTATTAAGTCGTTAACGAGTCGATAATGATAAACGTCGTGCATAATAATAATGCGTTACAAAGGAGGAGGAAGGTTCAGGAAAAAGGGGAACGAGCGTCCCCCCCCCCCGAGCGAGGACGAGACCCTCTCCCGAGAGAGGCTACCTGTCGGCTATCCAGTGTGATTTGCTGAACGGATGTATTCTGTTTGTATCGCGCGCAGTCGATTCAGGCGCGCCTCAGGCGAGAGGACGTATACGCGCGCGAGTGAGGATTTAGGATAATCGAGAGAGATATCCTGTCGTCGTCGGCGCGACGTGTCGCGCCAATCGCTCGACCCCGTTTTGCCCCCGTTAACGTTTCTCGTGTTGATGTTCATCGTGTGTGACTTTTTCTATCCCCGAGCTCACTAACGGAAAAGCTACGGAAAAGAAGGAAGGAAGGAAGGAAGGAAGGAAGAGGAGAGGAGGGGCCGAGTCGTCGAGTGACGCAAGCGAATCGTGCAACGAGTCGCACGGAGATGAGAGCCACGAAATGAGCCACGTGCGCCCGCGCGCGTATATCCACACGATCGTACAGTAACGGGTTCCTGTCGTCCTCCCGGAGCGGATCGCGGAAGCTCGACGTTGCGCACCTCTTCGTTGGATGGCTCGAGGGGATGGCTCTCGATGATCGGAGATCGAACGATCGTTTTTCGAGAAGAGCGCGCTCTCTCATCGCGGCCGGACACGCGCCGCCATCCGGAGAAGACGTATCCCGAGGGCGCTTTCGCGTTCCCATGTATGTAACCACTTGATTACGTTTACATGTGTAACTGTGTGATTTCGTGTCGCTCCGACTTGCCGCGCGGGGCACGAATAATCTCGGAGATCCTCCGCGACGCCCGAATCGATTTGTCTCCATTTTTATACGTCACGAGCGAGCGAGCGAGCGAGCGAGCGAGCGAGCGAGCATCTCATTTCTCGCTCGACGCGCCTCCGCTGTAGCATGTATCATCGGCATTTCCGTCTAAACGCCCAATTCGCAAGGATGTCCTGTAGTAAACTATCGAGCGGAACATTCACGAAACAGGAGGAAGCGTGCAATCTCAACTCGCACCGTCGAACAAGCGCAGCGTTGACATGTGTGAATGAAACGAGACCGCGGCAGACGGACACGGAACGAACG